GGGGCCAGGTGGAAAGGGGCGGGGCCTCTGTGGGGGGCTCCGTAGGGATGGAGGCTTTATAGGGCTGGGAGGGCTCTCTAGGAGGGGGGTCTCTATAGGGCTGTGGGAGCACCATGGGGCTGGGGCTCTATAGGAGTGGGGGCTGCATGAGGTTGGGAGTGCTCTGTGTGGCTTGAGGTCTTTATTGGGGTCGGGGCTCTGTGGGGCAGGGGTGCAGTGACCCCAACGCAGGGCATGGCAAGCACCACGTGGATTGAAGACCACCATGGTAGCGCAGAGGCTCTGGGGGACAGCCCCTGGCAGGGCATGCAGGCTCCCTGTATCCARTAGGCAATGGGAAGCCAGCAGGTCCCACCAGCTAGGCCAAGTTTGGGRTATTCCATGTCCACACCCTGCTGTGCTTCATTCTGGGAGTAGTAATTAGTGGCTTGCATGAAGAAGTGGCTTTGCCAGCGATGCCAAGATTGGGATGTAAAGGGCAAGGGAAGGGACTGGATTGATTCTCAAATAGGATAGGGATCAAAAGCTCCTAAAAGGGATATAAATCCCAAATCAGTCTGAGGACACCATAGGCTGTGTCCCTTGTCCTCAATGTAATCACAGAGTTCTGTGCACACCACTTGGACCTCCTGCCTTAGTGCTTGTGAGAATATCAGTGAAGTGTTGTGAAAATTACTTTACTTAACTACTAAATCATCCTCCCTTCTCCGAGGATCGCGGAGGGTCAGCAGGGACAGTGTCCCACCACAGGAAGATGTGAAGAGCTGGGCAAGGAAGCAGTAAAACCTCTTTACACCAGTGAGCCCTGGTGGCCAAACCCCCTCGGCAGGGGAACAGTGTTGCTGTGGGGATGCAAGGAAGGAAACCTGGCAGAAACAGGGAAAACGCCTGCTTCACAGATGGCAAAATAGAGGGAAGCAGGAAAACCAGCATGCCACAGATGACCCCATAGCAGGGKCCCCAGCTGTCCACTCTGACCCCTTTCTGGGTCTAAGACCTTGAGTTATTCCCCACAGAGAGCAGGGACCCCTGCACATCCAGCTCTATCCTCTGCCCAGCTGCAGGGAAAGGGAGAAGGGGATGGGGTCAGGGATCCCCACTCCTGCCAAGCACTGGAGCCTTGGAGAGCCCCTGAGCACTCCAGGGATTTGGGGCTGATTTCTTGTCCCTTGTTTCYTATTTTGATCTTTCTCTCACCTAAATTGCCTCCCCACCTGCATCTCTGCTGCCYCAGGTCCTTCCCATCCCACTGAGGCTTTGGTAAAGGTCACCTGCAGAGCTGATCCTTGCCCTCACTACTACCACATTCCCATCAGCCTGCAGGTTTTCCAATCAGGGATAGTCAGAAATCAAAGGGATGTGTGYCCCCCTCCTTCACAGGGAATGCCTGGGGAGCCAAGGGGATAACAGAGGGAAGAGCCTCCCTGCCCATCCCACGCTCCCTAAGCAGGGCAGGCTGGGGACCCAAAGAAGAGGCTAGACCAAGCAGCAAATTCCCAGCAAGCAAACAGGTTCAAAACCAAAGAAATCAATCCACAGGTCCAGTTTAGGGTCAGTCTGTGGGTTGGAGTCCAGACCAGCTGCTGCTGATCCAGACATCAGTCCTGACACAGCTTAGACTAGGACTGAGTCCCTTGGGTTGGGCTGAAAAAGAGCTCCTGGGCCTTGGGCAGGGTATGGGTGGGGGTCCCAGGTGGGGTTGGTCAAGAACATTCAGGTTGATTAATGGCCTCAGGGTCCTCACAACATCCCTCTGCTCATCATGCTGGAGCTCTGCAAAGGGATTTGTCTTACAAAAGGGATTTTTCCCTTTTCTTTTACTGTCTGGCTATTCAAAATCAGGATTATCTTGAGCTCTGTAATTTTCTGCTTACCGTAGGGATAAGGGCTCAGTTAGCAGGGAGCTGGTGCCACCCGAGGATGCTCCAAGGATTCCTCTGGCATCTTGATACAACCCCTGCCCCCCACATCCTTGGGGACKACTCCTGGGAAGCAGCAGCTGCAGAACCCCGGCTAGGATTGGGGCAGGGRATCCCTGCAGCTGTGGCATCCTGGGGGTCCCTCTGCACCCCCTTTGCCGGGGTTACAATCAGYCCTGGCATCAGCCTGCTGCCGAGTGCAATGTGATGAGAGGCTGAGACCTGAGCCGGGCCGATGTGACGCAGAGATGGGCGATGGCACCGACACTTTCCTTGTATCGGATGCTTCCACTTTCCATCCCGTTCCTGAGCAGGGTCACCTTGGATGAAAGAAAATATTGAGAGGGCAGGTGGAGGACAGGGGCTCAGGTTACTGCTCCTCTCCAGCYGCCCTGATCTCCATCAGGAACATGTTTCTGGGGGCTTTTTCCCCACTTTTCCAGGTTTGGCTGGGCTCCATGCCATGCCCAGCAGCCCTCTCCATCCTTGCTACCATCAGCTCTTCTCTTGGCTCCTCTCCCAAATGGCTCTTCCAGGTTCACACTTCCTGTGGGGTTGGGACCAGGCAAGAGGGTCCTGCAAGATTTGGAACTCCTCTGGCATGGTRTAGGGATGGTACTGGGATACTCAGAGAAACTGCAATGGGAAAAGGGAAGAAGAAACCATTCCTTGAGTCCCACTGTAACCAGAGTGGCTGCTCAGGAAGGACAGACAGACAATACTCATGATGTAATTCCTTTACTCTTATTTCCCCACCACTTCTGCCTTTCCCATTTGCTTCTTCTCCATTTTAAAGGACTCCCCATCCTCTTTTCCAGCTTTTGTTTCCCTGATCCCCCATGGCTGGAGCTGTCTGTGCCTTTGTCCCCCCATCCCTGCTTTTCCTCTCCCACCCCGCTGAGCTCATTTCAGCTATTCCTTGGCTTGGAATAACCCATCCACTCTGTTGTCCTCCAACAAATAAGCTGACAGGCTAATGAATGGCTTTGGATGGTAATTAGCAACGGAGTTGCTAATAATGAATTTCATTTACATTTTAAGCCTGCAGAGGGAAAATAAGCCCCTGTCATTAATGCCTCCCTCCTGCTCCCAGTGCAGCCTTGGCCTTGGGGGGAGCRCACCCTCCGGAAGCCTTTCTGTGATTGCACCTCTCCTGCCTCCATTTTGGAGGCTGTGATAAGCAGAGTTTGTTAAGCAGCAATTAGAGACGGTGGGGAGAAGCTGCTGCTGCTTCCATCATCTGATGGTGGGGAAACGCCATGGAAAATGGGCCACGGGAGGCAGGCGCTGGTTCTGGGCCAGGAAAAGGGCTGGATGGCTCAGCCAGCACCAGGGATTCACGTGGCTTGCCCAGAGCCCTGGAGTCATAAGCCCTCTGTGCCTACACAACCCTCCCGGCTACCTAGATATCCCAAAGGATTCCTCAKTCACTAAAACTCTTCCTGATTATTTCCCAAGGGGTTTAGCACCTTTTGAAGGCAGCAGTTTCTCTGAGGGGTTTAATTCATCCCTCCTCGCTGGAGGAAGGCACCAAGTGCCTTGTGCAAGGATGCCATAAAGAGTTGTCGAGCGGAGAGGGATGGAAATGTCATTGTTTTGTCTCATAGGAGTAAGGAATCCACGGTGGGAGCACAGGGAATAGGTATGCTGATTACTGCAGAGCACCAGAAGGGACTTGGGAATGCTCAAAGCCTGGATGTGGTGCTGGGGGGTGAGCCTGGGAGTGTTGTCTGCCTTGCCTCAGTTTCCCTCTCTGTGCCCAAGGGGCCTCAGGAAGGGTTAGATGGATCTGGAAACAATGTTCTGSATCTCCTGGGGTTTTCCAGCACACTGCTTGTGCATGAAGGATCCCATCCCCCTGCACACTGACCCCCCCCCCCCCAAACCCCAACCGAATGGTTGGATCAGGGATGTCCCATATCCGCCCCCATTTAGGCAGTGGTACTCACAAAAAGCTGCTTTGGGGACCACAGGGATGTGGGATTCACCCCAGACAGAAGTTGATGGTCACATCCTGCCTTCACCTCMATGGGAAGGGGATCGATCGATTGATTTATTAATGTATTTTTTCAAGCCCTGCTTGGAGTGAAACCAATCCAGGGGCCTCCAGAGGCCGATAAGATTTGACTGCAAGTCAATACTCACATGTCTTTCCACTGTGCAATGATCCCCCGGCCAGCAGGGCGGGAGGGGACAGGCAGGTGACARGAGCAGGCAGAAGGCCAGCCCGGGCAGGGACATCGCCTCTGTCCCGGGAAGGGATTGGGGGCACGAAGGGGACATCTCCTGGCCTGCAATAGGGATCTTCTGGGATTTGTTGCCAGTACATGTAATGGTGAGCCCGCAGTGGGCAGCTCCACACTGGGGACGTGGAGATAAGTGACGGGGACTGGGAGAGCAGCGGGGAGAGGGAGGGATGGGGAAGGAGGAGGAGTGGGGGAGAGAGAAAGAAATCGCCCGTGAAAACCAGCTCTGCCACAGCATCTGCTCCTCGGAGCTTTGGGAATTGAAAGGTTTTCCTGCCAGCAGAGCCAGGGTTGAGGATGCGGGGTGTTGGGGGGAGCAGAGCCCTGGCACACTCAATGCATGCCCGGCTGCAATGCCATCTGCCAGGCTCTCTCCTGGCTGCGGGTCCCAGTGGCTTCTCCGATGGCTAATAAGGGTTGAGCTCAGGCTCCAAAGTACTTCCYGAAGTACCTGCTGCATCTTCATGCCATCCCTGGGCACAGCGTGGCTGGGATTCCTCATCCCTCTGGGAATGCTGCAGGGCAGGCAGGCAGGGTGACATTTGCAGTTAGCAGTGGGTGTCCTTGAGAGGAGCAAGCGCCGAGAGAAGGGACCAGGTTCTCTTTAAGGGGGCAGGACTTTGGGAACATCATGAAGGCAAGAGTGAGCTTMTCCCTCTGCCTTCCACCCTCCCCTYCTTCCCTTCCCTTCCCTGTTCCGGGACGGAGACCTGGGTTCCCTGCCCTCCCCTTTGCCTAGCAGGGATGAAGGCAGGAGCTGGGTGCTGGGATGGGCGGCTGAGCAGGGGAGGAGGAGGAGGAGGGGGAGGAGGGGAGGGGAGGGAGAGGGGGAGGATCTGCTAATTACACAGAACAGCTCTGGGGGCTGCTGAAGTCCAGAATGAAGCAAAGAGCAGCAGAAGCGAGTGCTGCAGTGGGAGTGGAGGAGCCCAAGCATCACCGAGAGACGGAGCAGGCTGTTATCCCTGCTGGGAGCAACTGGGAGCACCCRGGGGATCCTGCAGCCCTGTCTCCCAAAGGAGACAGCTTCTGGCACYGCCACCGAGCCCACTGCCAGCCCCTGGAGAGCCAAGGGGAAGCAGGGCTGGGCTGGAGGGCAGCAAGGTCAGCCCTGCCATGGTCCCAGGGGGCTAGGAGCCTGTGTGGATCCAGCGGGAAGGGGTGAAGGATGACCGCCGAAGGAGGGAGAGCCAAGCCTGCCACCCAGTCCAGGATGGAGAACTTCCGAAAGGTGAGGACATCAGAGCAGGAGATGCCACTGCCCTTCCCAGACCTGCCCCCAGATGTGGTGGAGATGAAAGTGAAGGAGGGCAGCAAGATCAGGAACCTGATGAACTTCGCCATGGCCCAGATGGAGCTGAAGGGCAGGCGGCAGATCGTGTTCAGCGGCTGTGGCAGGGCAGTCACCAAGACCATCACCTGCGTGGAGATCATGAAGCGCAAGCTGGGAGGGCTCCACCAGGTCACCAAGGTACGCTACAAAACCATGCTGGAGGTCTGGGAGAACCAGGACCCGCTGCCTGATGGCCCTACACAGAACCTGACCGTCCACAAGAATGTCCCTTCCATCTGCATCCTGCTCTCCCGAGACCCCCTGGATCCCAACCAGACGGGCTACCAGCCCCCAGAGCCCCGGCACGAGGCGGGAGAAGACACATCGGGATCCTCTGCCAAGGGGCTGAAGCGGCCCTTGCCACCTCCCAGCGAGGAGCTGCTGCCCAAGAAGCTGCAGGTACAGGTGTCCGACAGCCCCAGGGGCTCGGGGACCACCGCTGGCCAGCTGGACCCCTGACCCCACCGCCTCCCACCCCACCAGCCAGGTATCAAGGCAGGAATATACACCCATTCTGGGGTCACTGGTGTCCTGCAGGCTCCCCCTGACCTGTCCCTACTTGCTGCTCCTTGACCCCTGTGGATGGGTGGTCCCCAGATTTGGGGTGGGGGTTAAAGGGTTAAACCCACCAACTCTTGGTTATGGATTTAGGCAGGTGAAGATGTGGGTGGGGGGAGCTGGTGATCTCTAATTCAGCCACCCAGGGACACTGTGACCACCAGCCACATCCTGCAGTGACTCCTACAGAGCCAGAGCAGCCGAGGGGTGCCCAGACCACCACCATGGCTCCCCACTGCAATGTCTCATCTATCAGGAGAGATGGGTTTGCCCTCACTGCAACGTCTCATCCATCAGGAGAGATGGGTTTGCCCCAAGCTTGTTGGAATGAAACCTTCATTATCTAACTCGCTGCTGAGGAGCTGTCAAGGTTATTAATGCCGGGCTCGGCATCCCGCGGGGCCGTGATTCATCCCAAAAAAACCACCCAAACAAGCACAGGGGGTGCTCCCTCCCTGCACCCACGGAGCCAAGCACTGCACTGTGCTGCCTGCCTGTGGGACAGCGCAAGGAAATAAAACAACCCGCATCGGATACTCTGGTCTGGAGTCGGGGAAAGCGTGGTGTGGGAAGCTGGGGGTAATGGGAGCACAGGGTGGGTGGTTATTGTGACTAGATGAGGAGGTTTTGGGGTTGTGCCTTGGCTACAGAGCCTTTTGGAGCAAAATCCCTGCTTCTCCAGGGGGTAAAGGGAAATGAATGGAAAATAAAAGCTCTTTAGAAATTGTTGAGATATGTCTGTGGGAAAATGGGGGATCATCTCGGCTGCTGGTCACGGCACGGATCAGCACAGTGAAGGCTGCTGCCAACCCAGGACAAGGGCACCCCAACCAAACCCTGCCCCTTGGAAGAATGGGATTGGGGTCTCCTGTGCCAGCATGGCAGCACCTGGCAAAGCCTCCATTCCAGGGGGGACAGGGGAGATTTGGGGGATGGGTTATGGGATGCCAAGCCCTGATCCACCTGGTCCCCTCAGCCCAGCACCCAGGGGCACTGCGGGAYGAATTAATCGGTATTAGGGAGCAAACACTTCCCAAAATCCACATGTGAGGGATGCTCTGGCTGCAGCTGCCTTATCTCCCTGCCTCACTCCYGCTCTCCAGGGACAGCCAGCATTCCCTCTTTGTCAAGGGCTTGCTTGGCTGGGAGCAGGAATGAAAGGAGAGGAGGAGGAGGAAGAAGCAGAGTCTGTTGTGTGTGGTGATGACCTTGTTATCTCCCTCAGCAGGCAACTGCTGCTTGGAAAAGAGGCTTGTGCTTATCTGCCTTGCTGCAGATTGATTCCCTTCACTTGAACATTAATTTCCAACTGTTTTTCTRTGTTAATGATCATTATTTGGTGGGTTTGGGGTTGGGAAAGCTTTGGGCTCCCAGTTCCTTTCTCCAGTGCAGAGCCCACTCAGGATCAACCCTCCATCCCACACGGGAGCACGAGGTAGAGGCTCCTATCCCAAATGCACTAAAAATCACTAATAAATTAATTAAGAAACCTATAATTAATAAATCCCTCTGTGAACACTCTGATCAGAGCCTGAAGACTGTGAGTCACACAGTTGAACACTAACAGCCCTTCACCTTCGCTGCTGCCACGTCACATTTCTCCGAGCAAGGAAAAAAAATAAAAAATCACTTATTTCTCCTTATTTTGTTAGTATGCAATTTTTTTTAATTATTATTATTTACAGCCAGGTAGTTTTCAATCACGGAGGTAGCATTGGGGATTTCAACTACCTTGCTTTGCCAGCTGTGGACTGAGGGCATCCTACCTGAGAACATAATAAAAAATGACTGTTATCCCCCCCAAAAAAAAGTATTTTAAACAGGATGATGATATCAGGGGACATGGTGAGTGGGATCACCACGATGGTTTTATGCGGTACTGCTGAGGCACAGCCCCAGGGAGGATTTTTGGGGCGATTTCGTGCCCGAGTCGGTGCGATGGTGGCTGAGGGCAGCAGCCGGCAGTGCGGGGACAAGGACACCATCAGAGAGCGGGGAGCTGCTGGACGCGGCAGCACAGCCSCTCTGAGCCCGTTCCCCTCACACGACCAGGTCGGGCGGGTGCCCATTGCCACAGACGGGGAGGCTTGGCTGGGGCTATGGCTGCGCGAGGCAGCAGCAGCCCGAACCCCTCCAAACCGAGCCCACATCCCCCAAAACGAGCTTAAGCCCCCCAAAACGAGCTTAAACCCCTCAAAACAAGGTTAAACCCCACAAAACCGAGCCTAAACCACTCAAAACCGAGCCCAAACACCCCCTCAAGAGCTCCTCGGTGAGACGCGCGCAACCCCTCCCCCGCACCCCTCGCGCACAAAATGGCGGCCGGCCCCGCCCCAAGATGGCGCCGGCCCCGCCCCGCCGCGCCCCCAGCCCGTCCCCGCGGCCTCCCGCCCTCCCGCGCTGCCGCTCCGTCCCCGCCGCGCCGCCGTACCCGCCTCCGCGGCCCCCCCCGGCCCTTACCTCCGTCCCTCCCTCCCGGTGCGGTGCGGGAGCCAGCGGCGCGCCCCCGGTACCCGGTGCTGTCTCCCTCCCTCACGCCCCGCCGCCATGCTGGCCGCCAGCGCCTCTCTCCTTCGCCGCTGCGCCGTCTCCGGCCTCCGCGCCGCCGTCCGCCGGCCCGCCGGCCCCGCAGGTGAGCGGCCGCACGCGTCTGCGTCCCTCCCGCCGCGATCCCGCCGCGGTTGGCCCCCGGAATCCCGGCGCGGCGGGCTGTGAGGCGGCGGGGCCCGGCGTGTCCTTGCGGTGACCCCGCGGCCTAGCGCGGGCCGTCCCCGCCGCTCCCGCCGCCGCCACCGGGACCCCGCCGCCGGTAYCGCCTCACGGGGCACCGGGCACCTCCCGCGGGCTGCAGCGGGGCGCGGCGGCGCTTTCCCCGCGGCCCCCGCCAAGGTGACATTGATGGAGGGCGGCGGTGACCTCCCTAGCACCGGGGCCCCGGCCATCCCCGGGCCCGCTCCACCTCCGCGCCAGTCCTCACCCTCCTAATTAACACCCGAATTAATTTCATTTATAATATTAACACCTTATTAACGCCCCAGTTAACGGGGAGAGGAGGAAGACCAGCCTCAGGCTGTGTGGTGTGATGGTGGCCAGGGTGGCGGGGCTGGAAGACACTGCAAAGAACACACTGCACCACAATTAATAGCTAATTAACTTCTGCATCGCAATTAATAGCTAATTAACAGACACTAACAATGCTCGGAGACCTATATGTGCCKCTGCTGTGGCACGTGTGAGTTAAACAGCTGCCTTAGGGAGCCTGCCTCTGTGTCTTTTTAAATAATAAGCACAGAGATTTCTTGGATGCTACTTAAAACCCTCGGTCTTTTGTTATTTTAAATCCACTAAAAGTCTTTGCTCTCGGTTCCTTTGAGCTGCTGAATCCCGTCTGCTCTTGGGCCTCATTTCCAGCAGGCTCCGTGTCTGCTTTGCCAAGGTCTTGTGTTACAGGCACCCCATTTAACACTGCTGCCACCCTTTTGCATTGGGGGTGGCCTTGCGGGCACTTGTGTTGCTGCAAAACTTTCCCTGTTTAATCTCTGGGCTCCTTGTTGCCTGATTTTCAGTAAATTAATATTTTTCTTCATGTATGTTTTTCTCCTGTGCTCATTACCAGAGAAAACTGACCAATTCTGGCCCAAGTGGAGGAGGTTTAATATGTTTTATGTGTCATATTAGGTGATTTTAGGCTTCTCAGGCTCTTGATACCTGTTGAGTTCACTTGAAAGTAAAGGTACTTGCCCTTTGGTTCTTCCTTGAGTTGGGAATCTCAGCGTGGATAGGCTGGTGAGGTTTGGCTGTCGACAGTGACCTTGATGGACCCCAGCGAAACTCAGGGCAGAGGGACTCGCAGTGTCCCGTCTCCGAAATGCAGATACAAACATTGCTGTGGAAAACGAAGAAACGTAGCAGCAACTGAAAAACACACCTTGGAAATCAAGAGTTTTCATTCTTACAGTCTGTATKTGCCTCCTGGATCCAGGGAATGGTTTTGTTGAGGAAAGACTGTACAYTTTGACTTAAAGATGGCACTTGAGCAATTCAATTTAGGTTTTTCTCCAGCTGAGATTTGCTGTTTCTCTGTAGGATTTTCTTTTTGTTTAGGGAAAACAAGGATTCTCCCTCAACCAGCTGAAACCTGAAGGGTTTTCAGCAGTGTCCTGGGTGCAGAAGCATTTGCAGAGCCCTGCTCTTGCTCTGAGCTCAGCTGTGCAGGTGATTTGTTGCAGAAAGCAGGGTCAAAGGTCTGCTTTGGAGCTGGGGACAGGAAGGGGAATTTCCCTACAGAAGCCAAAAGARCATTTTAATTCCGGCCTGTTATTTACTTTTCCATAGCTAAAATAAATAAAGCTATTTTCGTGCTTCTATTGCATAAACCCGAATTGCAGCTGAAATGTTGGACCACGTTAAATTTTGTTAAAAGAGCAGATTGCCTGCTAAATGGGCTGTCATTAATGAGACCAAAGAGAAGTGTATCAACAAAAATACAAACCAGTTCTGGGTTGTTGTTTTTTTCTTTTAAACAAAACACTGTGTAGTTGATCAGTGTGAGTGGTTCATGCTGGGTTAAGAAAGAAAAAGTCAGGAGCTAAATTTGACTTCTGTAAAGCAGAGCTTTGAGCTTCAAGGTCGTATGTGGTGTGTAACCTCTCTGCAAATATTAGTGGAGTGAGATTAGCAGTGAGGAAAGGAAGCACCAGATTTGTGGTCCTTTAGTTTAGTTCCCTTGCAAAACTGTTCCAACATTTGTGGGACAAAAAAAAAAGACAAGTTCATCCCAAAAAACAGCAATTTGTGATAGTGTTGAGTGAAGAAACTAATTAATAATTGTATCAGACTAATTTGTGTATTAGCATACAACYTGCTTTTGTGATTAGTTATTGTTGTATTCTTAGTTATATATAGGTTGCAATTGTAACCTTGAGACCCAGGACTTTTCTCTTGGATAGACACAGAGTGATCTTTTTTTACCTCCTTCAATCTTTCAGCAGACTGTTTTAAGGAATATCTCATCCCTTTTGCTTTTGAGAGCCTTTGTAGGATTTTCATGGAATTTTGTTGATGAAGGATGTGCATGTTAAGTTTCTTTGGCTCRCTTGGCTGTAGGAAGAGGGAGAATTCCTGTTAGAGAAAATCTTAGAGAAAAATAGGAATTTCAGAGAACTGGACTGGTTATCCAGAGGTGGTTTTTGTTTGTGTTTTCCTGCTCTGACCAGTGCTCTGGGAAYACTTTGGAAATCTGATGTGGAAAAAAAAGAGACACTTTGCCACAACACAAACCATGTTATATTTAATAAGCTACATCCATSCAGTGCTCATCCAGGGTGACTTTAACCAGGGAAATGTGTATTTTATGGTTTCTGGTGCCTTGGCCAGTACTAAAGTAGTGTTATTTTCCCTTTTTTTACTGGATTCAGCTGTGCTTCCTGCCCGCTGCTACTCTCACGGGTCACAAGAGTCAGATGAAGAATTTGATGCTCGCTGGGTGACGTATTTCAACAAGCCAGATATCGATGCCTGGGAGCTCAGGAAAGGTACGTGGGGAACAGGGAAGGGTAACCTGGAGTAAATGTAAGTTTTGTGACCAGAAATAACAACTTTATTTGGAATTTTGTGGACTCCCCATTCCTGGAACTGTCCAAGGCCAGGTTKGACGGGGCTTGGAGTAACCTGGGATAGTGGAAGATGTCCCTGTCTATGGYACAGGGGTAGGCTAAAWGATCTTTGAGGTTCTTTCCAACCTAAACTATTCCATGATTCCATGATTTTAACACCTGAATGGGARGGAGAATAACATTTGCTCCAAGAAAAGTGTGTTTGAGCTCTACTACGCTCATTTTTCTTTGGACTTTGACCAATGGCTTGGCCATAACACACTGCAGACTTTTTGTCTGCTTGTCTCCAATTGTTTGCTGTGGAGTTGCCAAGTTTTRTTAAACTTCCCCAGTTAGGCCTTAAAAATGTGATTGCATAAGCATGTAATTGCAGCCAGAGGGATCATTCTAGCAGCACCTGGCTGGCAAGGTGTTGGCTTTTCTGTTGGAGAGGAAAGGAACAGACAGCAAGAGGTTTCTTTTGAGAGTGTGACAACCTGATTCCAGGTTTCCCTCGGTGTTTCCTTGTCTCCACAGGCATAAACACACTGGTGGGTTACGACCTGGTCCCGGAGCCCAAAATCATCGACGCGGCTCTGAGGGCCTGCAGACGGTTAAATGACTTTGCCAGCGCTGTCCGCATCCTAGAAGTTGTAAAGGTGGGTGGAACTGCTCTGTTCCCATTGCTGGAGCCCGGCAGCAGGGGAGTTTTCCCTGGCTTTTTCCTGCTGCAAAGGGAAACCACTTTTTCCTGTTGGCAGAATCAATGGTTTCATGTTAACACAAAGCTTACTGGTTTCCTGAGGGACTGAATGCTGGGCTGGCTGGGAATAGTAACTCAGAAAGCCGTGTAGGCTTGGAAAACATCTTAAACCATCTCCTTGAAATCTGAATCCAGCCTCCCCAGGGAGTTAAGAGAAACCAGGGCTTTTGTTTCAGCCCTAGAAGCCACCAGCTCTGCTCTGCCACAAGCATGGAGGTTTTGGAGATGTGAGACATTCTTTGTTTTCTGGGATTCTTTTGCAGGACAAGGCAGGACCCCACAAGGAAATCTATCCTTATGTTATCCAGGAGCTTAGACCAACTTTGAGTGAACTTGGAATCTCCACTCCAGAGGAACTGGGCCTGGACAAAGCATAAACCTTGTTGGTAAGGTTTGATGTTGCTTCCTGGACTGTTGGCACAGGACTGCTGTACCCCAAAACCCCTGGCAAAGACAGAGTATAGGCGAGACCTAATGTGCATAATCCCAGAATAAAATAAGCCCTAAATAAAATCTTCGTGGAAGTGAAGCCTCTTAATTCAGTTTTCTCAGGAGATGACCAGTGTCATATTCTTTTTTTAAACATAATGCTTAGAATAGAGATAGCGTGTCAGCCTGCTGCAAATAGTRCTTGATTCTGGATCTTTTAAGTCCTTCTCCTCCTCCTTGCCCTGGGATATGATATCTTGGTGCCAGGGATCCTGAATCAGCTGTGCTGGGAATGCAGTACCTGCATTTTTGAGCTGAGGATGGTTAAATGGGGCTTTGAGGGTAAAAGGGATGGAAATAACACATTTGGGACCTTATGGAAACTGGATATATGGGCTGCTACTTCAATGGCTTTTCTTCTGTTTTTTCCCGTTCTTTTCTGTTCCAGGTGCATTACTCAAGTGTTTCACTGATGCGACCTGATTGTACACAGTCACCTGGAGAGACAAACCTTAAATCTTATCTGAAATAACTTCTTCCTTTATTGAGTCACAATGTAAGTGCTGCAGAGTTGGACCTAATAAAGGAAAAACTGGTTTGACCCATGTAGTACCAGTGGCTCGTGTGGTTATTTCTTACTGCTGTTGTAGGGAACACAAAGGTACAAACCGTAAATGTGCTCTTAGGAGCTTACAAATTTTATTTACTCTACAAAGCCCATGTGGGAAGGGAAGGGAAGGGAAGGGAAGGGAAGGGAAGGGAAGGGAAGGG